CACCACCCGGGAGTGCCCAGGACCCTGAGGACAGGACAGCACTGCTGGGGGGCGTCAGGGACCCCGAGGACGGCCCTGGGGCAGAGTGGAAGGGTGCAGAGGCACACAGAGTGCAGTCGGCTCGCCATTGTGCTGCCACAGGAAGTGGGCTCCTGGGAGCGACTTGGCCCCCAGAACCTGGCCGGCACCGTTTCTGGACACCCAGCGAGTCCTCCAAGCACGAGAGCCGAACTGCAGAGGGGGGCGTCAGGGAGGAGAGGGCTGGGCAGCGGCCCCCAGCAGGGGTGCCCGTGCCTGCTGGGCCAGAGGAGGCCCTGCTCTGTGCCTCACAGGACGCTGCAGCAGTGGGCACCAGGAGCCGGGCCGGCAGAGCCACCGGAGGGGGTCCCCAGCCCAGGGACGCAGCCTGTGGTCCCACACCCTGCGGGAGCCTGGCAGGGGGCCTCCCACCGGCAGCACACACTCTCGCTGGTGTGGCATCTGCCCCTTGGTGCCYCCCGGGGCCAGCTCCAGAGCAGGAAGCCAGGCCTGCCCAGGAGAGAGCCCCCGGCCAGGCAGAGAGCTTGGGGCCCACACAGGGACGTGTGGGGAAGCCAGAGGAGGGTGCCACAGGGCTCGAGAGGCCACCCCAGACTCAAGCGCCAGACGGTTCTGGACAGAGAGGGGCAGYGCCAGGGGGCGAGAAGGCTGGGCTGGGTGCAGCAGAGTCCCGGGCACAGGCTGCTCAGGACCGGGCAGGAGGACAGAGGGCAGCAGCCATGGAGAAGCCCTGCCAGCCCAGGGCCAGGGGCCAGGAGCACCCACTGGGCCCCTCAGTGAAGCAGGTGAGGAACCTGGCTCAGGAAGGTGGCCCCAAGGCTGACAGGAGCCCAGCCACTCCCTCAGGGACGCCTGGGGGGTCCTGCAGCCTGACCACACAGGGAAGGGCCGGGGGGACGGTGTCCCAGGCCTGGGGGCAGCCTGACSGCTCAGCTGACAGAGCACGTGCCGCAGGGGCCGGTGGGGAACCCCAGAGGGCTCCGCACAGGGCCAGTGGCCAGGGGCGCCCCAGGGCCCCGCCACCCACCCCAGGAAGCAGGACCCTGGCCGGGAGGAGGGCGGCAGCCTCTGGCCCGGAGCCCGCAGGCAGCTCTGCCCAGCCCACACCCGATGCTGGGGGCTGCCCAGTCCCCCAACTCCCAGCCCAGACGGGGCTCCCAAACACACCCGGGGCCGAGAGWGACCTGTCAGAGGGTGGGCACCACAGGTCAGGGCCCCTGGCAAAATACAAAGCCCAGAGCTTCAGCAGCCAGACGGCCTTCGATCTGTCCTTCAGGCCCACCTTGCTCAGGGCTAGTGATACCTTCGAAGCCCCACAGTGAGCCTGGCCATGAGCCACCACCAGCCCCCGGCATGGGGCTGAGGTGGCTTCCTGCCTGTGACGTGCTGTGCGCCTCCCCGGCAGACCGTCCACCCTGCCCTCTCCTGCCCAGGCCCCTGATCTTGGGAGAGGAGTGTGGCAGGTGGCCTGTCCCTCCCAAGGCCCCGACTGCTTCCCTGGGCTCTGAGGCTCCTTTTCAGAAGAGCCAGGTGCCAGCTGTTGCCCTCACGAGGTCCTTGTGCTKATGTGCACTGTCACTGGGAATGTGCCACACTCCCTCCTGACCTGGCGGGCGGGCGGCCTTCCCTGCCCTCTCACCGTGCTCTGGGCGCCCTCTGCTCCCCTCCCGTGTCTCTGCCAAGCACCCAAAAACAGAGCAGTGGCTGGTGACCTGAGCCGGGCGTGTGGGAAGAAAGGCAGCACTTCCCCACTGCTGGGCCCGGGCCCACGCCAGCTGTGGGGAGGCCAGGAGGCCAGTAGGACGGCAGGGCATTAGGGGCTCTGCTGGAGCCTGCTCCCACGACAGACCCACAGGCCTGGGAAGTGCCTGGGAAGCCAGCCCTGAGGAGCCACCACAGGCTGTCCATGGCCTGCTGCCCTGCTGGCCTGCTGCCCTGCTGGGCCAGGCCAGTGGCCATCCACCTCCTGCCTCTGCAGAGTGCACTCAGGCCCAGGGCCTCAGGGTGGAGCATCTGCTGATGTGAGGAAGGGTGGGGAGGAAGGAGGCCACCGGCCACAGCCCTGCCTCCGGTCACTGGTGCCCTCTGCAGGTTCTTCTGAGCTGCTCCATCGGTGTCTCCCATGGGACACAGCACACAGGCCCCAGGCCACCCAGAGGCCGGGTGCTGCCTGGACCTGCTGAGCAGGGGCTCCCAGAGGTTCTGAGGCGGCAGCTGCCCTGCTGCCCTGCTGCCCAGGGCTCCGGTTTCTCTGTGGAAAGTTAATTTCTGCTTTTTGAAGCTTCTTGGTGTTCAGTTCCTTTGCAACTGAGCACTGTCCGAAAGCCCACTCTGGCCCTGGAGACAGCTCCGGATGCTCCTGGTGATCTCTCTTATTTTCTGATCTGAACATCATTCAGAGAGAGGCAGGTGCCACTTGAAGCTGGCAGGACCTCCTGGGTCCTGAGACTCTCCTGGGCCTTCATTTCTCTCACCCATGGAGGCTGCTTGTGGGGCCGTGGGGTGTGCTGTCCCCTAGGAGCTGCACCAGGGCTGGGGCTGGCTTCTGGGAGCTCCCCAGCCCCGGGGCCCAGGAAGCAGGGGTGCAGGCTGCTCCCGTGGAGGCCACAGCCAGCCTTGGGGAGCTGTTGGAGTGGAGCTGAGAGCCGCCTGGAGTCAGAGGTCCCTCCGCCCCAAGGCACCCCCCGGGCAGGGCCACTCCCATCATACTTGAGCAAACACTTCATCTTATTGCTTTATTTATCCTTTGTTCAGAAAGGTTAAGGGGAACCTTTGCCAAAGAATGTGAGGACAGAAGTGAGATAAAAATACTWCATTCCCAGTGTTCCCTCTAAAAATACGCAGCAGCCGCACCTCGCTATTTTTAAACAGACCAGAAAGTCCTGGGGAATGCAGGGCTGGGCGCCCAGCCGGCAGGTGGCCACTGGCCCTCCACACAGGCTGCCGGAGGCCAGCGGCACCCCTGAGCCTGTCCCAGGGAGGCCAGGGGGAGAGCCCGGCATCAGTGGACGCTGGCTGCAGCTCTGAGTGGGGAAGGGACTCCTCCCTGGAGAGGCCTGAGACCACCCGTGTGGAAGGGTGGGGTGCAGACCACCCTGAGCCCACCTAACCCTGAGCAGCTCTCCACGTCTGCCCAGGTGTTGAAGACCCAGGGGTCAGCCCTGCCCTTCTGCAAGCCCCCTGTGAGGTCAGACATGGTTAGGATCTCACGGTTCTTTGCCATTTCAGCTATGATCTTTTAATTATGTGTCCATCCACAGTATTTACTAATTTCCTTCTTGGTATCCTTCTTGGTAGATAAACAATTCTAAAATGGGTTAGTCAGAAAAAAATARCTAAATGTGTTTTATTATATCCTTTAAGTTTTTACTAACTTCATTCAGCTAGAAATAATTTTTAAGAAAGAARATAGCTGGATCGGGGATGTGTTCAATGGCAGAGGGCTCTTGCAGCATGCAGGCTCTGTGTTCGATTCCCAGGCTGAAAAAATAAAGTATGTTACAAATCTCTTCCTCGTATCTGTGAAGGGCGGTACAGGCAGCAGCCAGGGAGCGAGGGCGAGCCCATCAGACGTGCAGGAAGGGCAGAGGTCAGCAGGGCTCTGGCCCGGACGCCCCAGCATGGGTGCAGATCTTCTTAGTGTGTGCTGGTGGAGGAGGGGACACCTCCCCCTGGTCACCGGGCAGCTCTGTGCCCATGACGGGCAGCATGCAGGCATGTTTCCTGATCAGCACAGGCCACAGGCAGCACCCTGCTGGTGTGGAGGGACAGCTGGACAGCTGTGGACAGCTGCTTCAGGCCCCACCGAGCCACCCCAGCCTGTCCACGTCCAGCTTGAAACAGAGGGTGCTCAGCTCACCCGTGACTGCAGCACAGAAGAATGTTCAAATCTGTTGGAGAAACAAAGACCAGAGAAAGCACCAGTAAAGCCAATGACAGGAGAGCCACAGGCTCACTGCACCAGCAGCTGCACACTTGACATTCAGGACACACACAAAACCGAGGCACAGAGGGAGGACAGCAGGGTGTGCTGCCGGGTCGGGAGAAGAAACGGGCGGCTTCCGGCGCTTCAGGAGAGCCAAGGTCT